AGTCTGTTTCTTGCCCAGGCTAGAGTGAGTGCCGTGGCGTCAGCCTAGCTCACAGCAACCTCCAACTCCTGGGCTCAAGCAATCCTACTGCCTCAGCCTCCCGATTGCTGGGACTACAGGCACGAGCCACCATGCCCGGCTAATTTCATATATATATATATTAGTTGGCCAATTAATTTCTCTATTTTATAGTAGAGACGGTCTCGCTCAGCTCAGACTGGTTTTGAACTCCTGACCTTGAGCAATCCGCCCGCCTCGGCCTCCCAGAGTGCTAGGATTACAAGCGTGAGCCACCGCGCCCGGCCCAGGGGCTGCTTGGTTTGTGGATGGCAGTTCCAAGGTGAAAAGACAACATCCTGTTTGGAAGGCTGCTACTCTGACTGAAGAAGAGTCAAGAAAACCTTTTTATTCTTTTGAGCTACTTATAGCTTAGAGTATCTAGGTAAAGTATACTTTTCTGAGAAAAATTTACCTTTCTCTCTACCTGAATTCTCCAAAATTTGAAAACCATTCCTGAGTATTCTTATTTTATGGCAATATAGTCATTTGTACAAGTTCAATAAGAATATGTCTTATTTTGTAACAAGGCACATTAGAAACAGTGGTTATTTTACCAAGGCTTTGGCTAGAATGGCATATGTTCAGATATGACTAGACTGTTTTGAGGAATTGAAGTTGACTTTATAGAGACAATAAAAATTTCCTTGGAAAGACTGGCCTGGTACCTTATCTGTATGGTTCCCTTTCAAGGTTCCTGACCTGTGGCAAGTAAAGAATGTCACTTTCTGACAGATTCAGGAACCTCAAGATATTTCAGGACCTTCAGAATACAGGGATTCATGCAATTTGTACAGGTATTACCAGTCTGATGGTGAATTTTTCCCTTGGCTTCCTGACCTCAAGGATTTTAAAAAGACTAATTTGAAATTCCTTATGAAAATTCCAGCAAAGCCAACTTTAAAAGAGCCTATATGGTCAATCACTATTCTTGCTGCATTTTATGCAAATTATCACACCATATTTAATGAGACTAAAATTTATTCTGCAAATAAATTGGTCCTACTGTGATTTACCCTTGGTAAAAATGGGGAGACTGGAGAGAGAAAAATTATGTTTCAGAAGAAAACTATAGTATACTGATTATTAGATTCTAGCTATAAACCATCATTTTTTAGTTTTTATTATTTGCCTACAATTTTGGCTAAGTCCTGAATTATTTTCTTGCTACAAGTCTCTAAAGAAGAATAGGGTTTTAATTTTCTTCATGATGTTATTAGTTGGTTCCCTAATAAAAACTTTTTTTTCAATTTTGTTTTTCAGCCTGGCATATAAATTCTATTTTGATATAATCCTCGTGTGCATTATTCAAATTACTAATGTTATATATTTCTCATTGTTTTACATTTTCTGAGGAAACTAACATCATGGTATTTTGAAGACTAGAAATGATTCAACGAAACCTGCTGTTTTCTGTATTGTTGCTGCTGCCTCTGCTTGTAAGTAGAAAACAAACTGGTGCAATGTGTCATCCACATCCTCCCCTCTAAAGACTTGGAAACCATCTAGGAATAGGAAAGCACATGAGATTGTAGGAGCCAGATTAGGGGGGTAGATTATTGAGGATAAAATAACTCCATCTTGGATGCTAATATGCCACATTGACTTCTTTTATTCTACTCTTTTTTTTTTTTTTTTTTGAGACAGAGTCTCACTCTCTTGCCTGGGCTGGAGTGCCCTGGCATCGGGCTAGAGTACCCTGGCGTCAGCCTAGCTCGCAGCAACCTCAAACTCCTGGGCTCAAGGGATCCACCTGCCTCAGCCTCCTGGGTAGCTGGGACTACAGGCACATGCCACCATGCCTGGCTAATTTTTTCTATTTTTAGTTGTTTGGCTGATTTCTTTCTATTTATAGCAGAGACAGGGTCTCAAACTCCTGAGGTCAAGCAATCCTCCCACCTCAGCCTCCCAGAGTGCTAGGATTACAGGCATGAGACACCAGGCCTGGCCCACATTGACTTTCGAGTAGCCCCAGTTCTGGGAATGCCTCTAAGATTTCATGTACTTTCATGTACTTACCATAAATCCTGCCTCGAGGTCAAAAACAGCATAAATGTTGCCCTTAGGCAAATTCTTGCCTTAACCTGAGGGTCAGCTTCAATTGTCCCACACATTCCCTTAGTATTTAAGCTCTGGATCTCTCTGTAAGTCCCTATTAAATGTTTCTTTCAGAGAAACTGGATTTGTCAGCCTCTTTCTTCAGTCTCTCAAATTCCTTGGACTTTGTGGGTAGGTTTGCATAGACCTGCCCACCAAAGAACACTTTGTAGTAAGTTTAGAAACTGGGAAGTGTGAGTCTTTCAACTTTGTTCTTCTTTTCAAGATTGCTTTGGGTATTCTGGGGTCTTTGAATTTCCATATGAATTTTAAAATAAACTTGTCAATTTAGGCAAAGGTGCCAGCTAGGATTTTGATAGGCAAGTATTGAATCTGTAGATCAACTTGGGGATTATTTGCATCTCTACAATATTAAGTCTTCTGATCCATGAATATCGATGCTTTTCCATTTACTTAAGTCTTTAATTTCTTTCAACAAAGTTGTTTAGTATTCAGAATGTAAGTTTTGCATTTTTCTTGGTAAGTTTATTCCTAAGTATTTCTTTGTTTTTGATGCTCATCTAATAAGTTACATTATTTTTTAAATCCATTTTAACCTCTGAAATCGAGATGTATCTTAGAATCAAGGGCATCTTAGCATTATGTCATAGTTCCATTGGCAGTAATTTTTTATCTTAATGAACATATATGTGACTTACAATCAATGGCTTTTCAGAATCAATACAATATTAAATGTGAAATGCTCATAAAACATCGAAGTGGAGATGGAAAGTAAGCATTTGGATATGTCAATTTGGAGCTAAGAAGACAGGTTTGAACTAGAGATAAAAATGTTGGTGTCATCTGAAGTTTCTTATTTAAAGCCACAACAGTGAATGAGATTCCTTTGGGGAAAGAATAATAAAGAAGACAAGAGGATCCAGGTTGCATCCCTGAGAAACGTGAAGAGTAAGAGCCAGCAAAGAAAACATTTGAGTTTATTGTTGTTATTGCTGTTGCTATTACTTGTCACTATAAATTTGTCAGAATATTCTGTTTATTTGGGAAATAATATGTTGATTAATCACACTTTCTTTCATCTCTGAATATCCGACATGAATACAAATAATAAGTAAGCCTTCCAGGCCTTCAGGGAAGTATTTTTTGTTTTGTTTTGTTTTTGAGACAGAGTCTCACTTTGTTGCCTGGGCTAGAGCGAGGGCTGTGGCATCAGCCTAGCTCACAGCAACCTCAAACTCCTGGGCTCAAGCGATCCCGCTGCCTCAGCCTTCCGAGTAGCTGGGACTACAGGCATGTGCCACCATGCCTGGCTACTTTTTTCTATATATATATTAGTTGACTGATTAATTTCTTTCTATTTATAGTAGAGACAGGGTCTCACTATTGTTCAGGCTGGTTTCGAACTCCTGACCTGGCGCAATCAGCCCGCCTCAGCCTCCCAGAATGCTAGGATTATAGGCTTGAGCCACCGCACCCGGCCTGGGGGAAGTATTTTAATCTGCTTGTGACTTTGGATAAAATAGGCACATGTTTATTGCATATTAACGTTGAGTAATTGTCTAAAGGCAGAAGAGGAAAAATAGAAGAAGTACTGTAGCATTCACAATTAAAAGCAGAAATGTGTGTAGAAATCCTTCTAAGGAGTTTATATCCCATTTGCTGTCACATTTCTATAATATAAGTAGGACACCATCTGGTAGTAATGGCAATTCATTTACCTTTCATTTACTGTTTGTCACTTCACAGATGTTGTATATTATTCATTCCTTCTTTTCATATTTTTCTTTGTATTTTAAATGCCCTAATCATCACATAAAGTTACCATTATGCCATATCCTCTAGGCAGTGGTTCTCAGGGGAGATTTTAACCCCCAGGGAACATGTGACAATGTCTGGAGACATTTTTAGTTGTCACAACTGGAAATGGGTGCTACTGTCATCAGGAAGAAGACAGGGAAGTTGCTAAACATCCTACAATCCCCAGGACACATCCAGATCCCCTTAACAAAGAATCATTCAACCCAAATTTCAATGGTACTAAGATTAAGAAACTCTACCTGTGAGAATAAGTTTATATGTATATGAACTTTCTGGAGGCAGAGTCCATAGTTTTTACCAAAGTTTCAAAGGAAGTATGACTCAAAAACTTAAGAAAATCTGGCTTTAATGGATATTTCATCTAGGCCATGGTAAACAGTGACATATTAACCTACCTCACAAGAGGAGTCACCTCTCTATTTAAGGAGACTTATCTTTGTCAGCCAGATTTCACTGTCCTTGTCCACTGTTCACTATCACTCACAGCTAGTCAAACACAGATAGCTCTTTGGATTTCCTATCTCTAGGGCCTCCAAGTACTTCATCCTCTATCAGCCACACTAATACAACTATTATGGTTTTGGTTACTATTGATGATTCAGCCACAGCTTTTGTCAGTTTAAAAACCTGCTTTCTTAAAACGCACTCAGTTAATTTGGTCAATATCCATTTATTCGATGCTTCCTATGTTTAACACGCTGCTACTCACTGGGTATGTAGTGATGAAAATGATTTTACAATTTATTACGAGAGATGAATGCAGTCTAAACATGTAATCTTGTCCAGAGCATAAGTGAAGGTGAAGAGAGCTAAAATGAGGATGGATAGGACTACACAGCCAGATCACTGCACGCCACCTTTCTTTCATTTCGTATTCCATCCTGCTCAAATGTCAAATGCAATAGGCAGTTAATTCCTTCTTGGCTAGTTCAACAATTCCGTTATCTACATCCCAGTCCAAGTTATTGGGTATATATTAAAATTCAACTAACATTTCCTGGGCACTTACAAGACAGGTTGGGATAGTGGAGACTATGGGCAAAGTGAGAACATCAAATGCAAAAGCCTTTTTCTTTGTCACCAATACATCTAATTAGAAACCAACGTGTGTGTGGGGATGCACAATAAAGCCGAGGTCTAAATGCCATTTCCAGATAATCAGCCGATCGTTACAATTGACATTGCTCTTGAACAGATATTGAAAGTCTGCTGCCATTGCCTGGAGAGAAAAACAGAAAGAAAAATTTAACCACCACCACCCCCAAATATTAGCAATTCAGTGCTGTATACTGTTAGTAGTCAGCCTAAGCCGGCCAGGGTGGCCTGGCCAGTAATTTTTCATGGGTCTGTCAGGCTTGAATGTATAACTCACTGAAAACCCCAGGCTGGTAAAATAACTAGGGTTTCCGTGGGAGTGAGGTAAGGGGTGCCAGTGAGAGAACAAAGGCTGCGCGTCCGTGGCCCCGAGCTTCACTGGCGGCGGGGGCAGCGGGTGCGCCCGGACGGCGGGGATCCGGGATCAGTGGCCCACGCGGCGGCCTAGGATCCTCTCCCCGGCCGGTCCCTCTCAGCCGGTGCACAGGAGGGCGCCGCCGAACGGGCACGCCAGACAGGGGCGGCGTGTGAGAAGTGGAGCGGGCTAGAGGCCGGGCCGCCGCCCCGCCTGAGTGACTGAGCAAGCAAGCGAGCGACCTCGGAAACACGGTACGGCCGGTCACGCGCCAGGACCGGGATCACGCGGCTCCCAGGGCAGGGTGAAGAAGGCACCGGGAGAGCGAGCGCTGGAGAGGAGTGGCGCCCAGGGACAGAGGGCGGCGTCCCCTGCAGTTCGCGTCCGCCAGGGCCCGCCCCTCGCGCTTATGTAATAGGGGCGCGCTGCCATTGGCCCGCGCGACCGGAAGGGGCGCAGGCGTGCGTGCGGGTGGGGCGGGGAGGCGGCCGCCGCAGGAAAGCGGGTGGGCGGGGCTGCGAAGAGCAGGCGGTGCTGGGGCGCCTGGGAGAGCGGCGCAGCGTGCGCGGGCACGAGGCGTAGTGGCTTCCCCTAAGGCTGAGGCGGCGGCGGGCGCGCGGCGGCGGCGGGCGTGCGAGGCGCGGGCTGTTGTGCTCCCGGCTCTCCTCTTTCCCCTCCTTGGCGGGTAGAGGAGGCCAAAGCGGTCCTGGGCGCGCTCCGTCTTCCCCTCCCTCCGGCGACCTCCTCCGGTCCTCTCGCGCTGCGCTGTCTCTCCGACGCAAGACTGTCCCGGCCCGGGTGAGCGGCAGCTGGGACACCGCTGACGCTGTAGGGCGCCCCGGAACCGGGGTGGAGGGTGGTGAGGGCCGTAGGGGTCGCGGCGGGTCGCGAGGGGCCGCCGGCCTCCCTGGGGGCGGCAGGGCCAGGCCCGTCCCGGCGCGGGCCGCGGGAAGGAGGGAGCTCGGGCGCCTGCCAGGCCCTGCAGGTGGCCGGGTCGCAGGCCAGCCGCGGGAGCGGAGCGGTAACCTTACCCCCTGGCGACAGCAGCTGGTCGGTTGCTGGAGGCTGGGGCTCCCCATGGCCGAAGGGGCCGGCTTTGGGACACTCGAGGCCTCCAGGAGGCGCGTCTTGGGCCAGGGTCCTGGAGGACTGGCAAGTAGGTAGGGGCTCCGTGGCCTTCGGTGGCAGTAAGGAGGAGGGGGCTCCAGAGTCCCGGGAGTCCGGCTTGGGAAGGAAGGTGCGCCAGGCTGCAACTGGAGTCAGTGAAGTGTTGGATGAGTAGACCTTACTCCCGGTGCGTGCTTCTGCTCCTCTGCCCAAAAAACGATGTAGTTAAAAGCTGGGGTCAGGATGTTGAACGCTGCCTGGGCCTCTTCCTTTTAGATGGCTATGGAGAATAAGCCTACTTCCTGGATCCAAAATCCTTTTCTTCTTACTCATTTGTGTTGGTTTTAAAAGGATCTTTGGGGACAGTGCTTACTTGTTGCCTCCTGCGAGAGCACCTCATTTAAGAACTTGTTCGTCCTACTACTTTCTCCTTTGCAGCCCCCTCGGAAAACCACACCAAATAGGAGTTACATTAAAACCAGCATGTACACATTTGTAAATGACTTCTTGCTCTTCAGTTTGTTGCATTTAATCAAGGAGCAGTTATGCTAAAGATTTTGTAGATAATTCGATTGGCTTGAGAGCAAGTCCTAAGCTGAGCTGTCCAAAAGCAGGTGGTTTGTTCTTTTGCATTTCTGCTTTCAGAAAGGAAATCAATGCAGTGTGTTGTCAGAAGTTAGGGGCCTGCCTCACGCATTTGGCTTGTGTGGTTCAATTTCCTTTACCTGGTGTTTTCTGTTTTAAGAATAAACGACTACTGCCTTTTATTTATTAAGGCTCTTCTGGCTTTTTTGTTACTGTTGTTAGGTGACAATGGAAAATGGGTTAAATCTATTGCGTAATGTTATATTTTAGGGAAAGTCCTAAATGCAAAAGTTAAAAATAATTTTATGTATTTAATGACACGGCTTTTACAGGTCACTGCATGAAAAATATCAAAATGGCTAATAACTTCTAGATAACAAACTTCTGAAATTAGTGGCCTGCCATTTTATAAGATTTTTTTTCAATGTGAAACAATTAAGTTACCCACAAAACAAGTATATTAACATACATTGTGTGGAAGAGTTAGGATGTGTAAGAGGACTGAAGTATTCTAATATAAAGTCCTAATACTAAGACATAAACATTAAGAATGTAATAAAACATTGATATACATAAAGATTGAACACCTGATTACTATCATTCAAATAATACATATGTATCCAAACCTGTTTCCATAGGAATAGGTTTGTAAGCTTGCTATAGCATATGGACTTAAATATACTTTTTAAAAAATCATTCCATTTGGCTCAGAATTAGTAAGGATTTGATCTTTAAAATGCAAAAATGGAAGCTTAACCTTTAAGGACTAACACAGCTGGTAATATTTACCATTGTTTGGTGGGAATAGGGTTCTTATATTAAGCTAGCATACTACACATTTTCGTAGTTGGTAAAATATTCAACTGACTTTCTAGAAAAGCATCGGTCCTCTCCTATATTTTATATGACTCTCAGTTCAGTGTTTAATGCTAGTGGGAACTTTTCCAATCAGCGTATTTATTTTTCTAGTTTTCCTTTTGGCGGCTGTGGGGGAACTCCGTTTCTATGAAATGCTTTGGCCTCAGATCCATTTGCTAATTAGTGTTCCAGTCAGAAAAAGCCAGCACTATTTACTGGTGAAGTTGATGTAGATGCATTGTGTGTTTATGTCCTGCAGTGATTTGGAATTTAATGACAATGCTAGTCAAAACTATACATGAGAATTCTACATACGATCCAATTTTAATGTATTTAAAAAGCACTTGGGATTCATTATAGACCCCTTATGAATGGATTTAACTTGTATGGTGTAATAGATGCCTTTAATTTCAATGGAAAAGTAAAAGTAATTTTTTTCTATTGCTTAAATACTTTTATTTTTAACCCATTTAGGTTCACTTTAGTTCATCACTAGTAAAAAAGCGATATCTTTTAACTTTGTAAAAGAACCCTTTTACTGGATTCATTCTCTCAGCTGGGAACTAATTTAATCTTATTTTATAATTTGTGCAGCAATCCAACAAAGACCAACTTTTTAGAAAAATTTAGAACAACAGTTTTATACAACCTCAGTATTTGAGAGAACAGTTTCCATGGTCTCCTTTAGAAGGATTAGCTGACAGCTCTTATTTTTATTAAAGTTGTAAGAATTGCAAGTCCCAACAATGAATACTGGGAGGGGAAAGTGCCTTTGCAAAGTGATCAAATAAATGATTGAGGAGCCTAAACTTTTTTGGGTAAACTTTTGAAGATTACATACAATAAAATGCACAAATCTTAGATGTAGAGTTAAATGAATTTTTACAAGTAAGCACACCTGTGTAACCATTACTTGGTTCAAGATATAGAACAGTTTCAGCACTGGATAAGTCCCCTTCATGCTCTCTCTTCCCAGTCATTATCCCATAACCCCCAAGGTGAATTCTTCCACAATAGATTAGCTTGGTCTGTTTTGAACTTTATATAATGTAAATTCTTTGTAACTGGCTTCTATCCTTAAAATGGAGCTACAACCAAGTTTTGTAACAATTGTTTTGAATGCTGCATAGTATTTCCTTGTATAAATATTTTAAAGATACATATACAGTTTATGTATCTGTTTTACTATTAGTGGGCATTTACATTGTTTCTAGACCAGAGTACCTGTTTTTGGAACAGGTACTCTGAATGTTCTTGTACATGTTCTTTGGTGTATATAATATTTGCATTTCTGTTGGCTATATACCAAGAGTGGAATTGCTGAATCATAGACGGCTACCTACCAGTTTTCCATAGTGGTTGTACCAGTGGATACTTTAGTAGCATTGTATGGGAGAGTTTGAAAACCCATATATTTTAAGCTGCCAGATATTTCTCTAAAACTTAAGGCTTCAACTTGGAGAAAGTTATTATGCTTAGGTTACTCGTATTAGAGTAAATCACTCTAATGTCTCACCGTCTGTTTTTAGATATGGCTCGTGGACAGCAGAAGATCCAGTCTCAGCAGAAAAATGCCAAAAAGCAAGCTGGACAAAAGAAGAAACAAGGACATGATCAAAAGGCTGCTGCCAAAGCTGCCTTAATATATACCTGCACTGTTTGTAGGGTAAGAAGAATCGAAAGACATAGCTTTCCTATGGGCAATTCTTTCATTATAAACTTGTTTGTATAAATTAAAATTTTGAAACTGTAACAAAATAGATGCTTTACTTGAAATAGTAGATTTGAGAGCTGGTTATTTTAAGAATCCATTTTCATTCACCCATTCAACAAATAGCTTTTGAATGGCTCCTGTGGCCAAGCACAATCCTCTAGGTGCTGGAGAAACGGAAAGAACAAAACAAAGTCCCTTCCCTCAAAGAGAATAAAGATGTCTTCATAAAGACATACAATATACTTTGAACTTTGTAAGGAAGTCAGATCTACTTTCTTAGTTTAGAGCTATGTAAGATGCTAGTGAATATACCTCTGGTTATATAATTGGGCTTTTTTTTTCCCCCACTAACTATAATTAGGAGGTCTGCAAAACTATATACAGTGTATTCATGTTAAGGGCTTTTACTGGAATGAATGTGTTTTATTAGATTTGAAGAATAGTAGTAATAAGAATTACTGTTGAGTGCTTTCCATGTGCCAGGTACAGATCAGGTGTTTTATGTATTCACTTACTTAATCAACATAACAGCCCTCTGAGATAAAGTACTTTTATTCTCATTTTACAGGAGAGTAAACTGAGTCATGAGAATTAAATAACATATGTGGGATCACCCAGCTAATAAGAAGAGCTGGGATCTGAACATTGGCAATCCAGCTCCAGAGTCCACCCTCTGGACCACTATATACTGCCTCTCAAAGAAGTGCTTCTGAAATTCCAAATCAGAGTCTCTTTCTTGCCTGTTTGTTTAAGCTCATTACTCTTAAAGTTAGTGAATGGCAGTGCCAAAGGAAAAAAGCATAGTGGAGTTAGTCCAATATATATACATATATTTGTAAGGCCCTATACCTGGGTAGGATTGATGATATGAATGGGAAGGATCTTGGTAAGATGTGATTCCTAGACTGAAGTTTGTCATCTTTTGAACTCATTTTCAATGAAGTAGAAATTCCTAACAACATGAAAGTTCTTGATAATCTAAGAGAAGGACTCTATTATGTTATATATCTTATTTATAGCAAGCTTCGATACAACCAAAATAATGAAAGTGAGTAGCTTCTGATTCTGTTTAGAAAGAGGCAGAGTGAAAATAAAATTTTACTAGATAAGGGATAAAGAAATGCCTTGACCTATAAGTACTAGAGTAGTTCACGTATTTAAAAACTCAAAACTAAAAACTTGTATTTCATGTTTTGTGTAATTGTGTGGAAGAATAAATAATTGAAGGTCGTTGCCAAGGGAAGTCAGCATAGTGTAATATTTGAGAGCTGAAGTAGCTAGTGCTAGGTTAAAATGAAAGGCTTGGGCAAGTTAAACTCAGGGTTTTAGTTTCCTTATGTAAAATGAGGATGATAGGAGATGCTGAAGATGACTATGAAGGTTCTCTGAGAATTGAGGTAACACCTTTACTATAGTAAGGGTTCAGTAAATGTTACCTATTGTTTGCTATTGAACAGTGTATCTTCTGTGTGATCTACCCCTTCTTTATATGTAAAATGTGAGAATGTTAGGAATTTGTCACAGAGTCCCTCTCCATATGCCAACCACTAAGTTGTAGGAATTTAAAAGTATTTTGTGATAATTGTCTATCATCAGCAAGTTCAGGATTTTAAAAGGTAACACATTTTTATTTCATAAAGTCTAGCTCTTTTTTGCACTTTTTTTTTTTTTTATTAGACACAAATGCCAGACCCTAAGACCTTCAAGCAGCACTTTGAGAGCAAGCATCCTAAGACTCCACTTCCTCCAGAACTGGCTGATGTTCAGGCATAAAGTTGTTTACAGGTAATTGATCTCTTTTTATATTGGTTTGTTAATGTCAGCATTGTATACTGGACCAAAACTATCCTATGTAATTGTGAAATTAATTTCTGCTTTGTGAGACTTTATTGCTTCCCCTTTTAA